CCCTTCCTGGTTTTCCTTTCCAGGAAACATAGGCTTCCAGACTGTATCTACCTCTGTATCTGTACCCTCTCCTACCTGACTCCCTCCCATTAATACAGTTTGATAAAGGACTGAAGAGAGACACTCAGGGAAGAAAGCCGGCTAATTGAAATCAAAAGCAATTTCAGCTGGACAAGCATGTTTCCCTTTCAACCTCATCCTTCTCTTCTCATGCCAACCTTCAATTAATTTTATTCCCAATAGATGGATGCATGACCTCCGTGTAAGCCATCATTGATCATCTCAGCTTGATTGGAACCCTAAGGGTGTAAGGAAGCGGGAAGCGGCTCACCTAGTCTGTTAGTCCACAATTAAATTTATGGGGTGTCTTGGGATGCAGACTCAGTCACTGAATTACAGGGCACTGGGACTGGCAGAGAGTCCTCATAAATCATCCAGTCCAGTCCTCTGCCTTACAGATGGCAGCACTTACATGGAGAGGTTAAGTGACTTGCTTAAGGTCACACAGCAGAGCGAGGGCAGAATTCAGATATCCTGTCTCCAAGTCATTGTGCTTACCATTCCGCCCTGCTGCCAGAGGAGGGCAAAGATGATGGATTAGTATGTAGGAGCAGAAAATGAAGAAAAACAGATACACATTTCCCTTAAATGCTCCAAATTAATAAAGACTCTGGACTGGAAGAGGACTGTTTAGAAAATGGAATTAGGAAATACAGAAGTGAACTATCGCCTTCAAATGGTGATCAAATCAGAAAACTGTGGAGAAAAATGTGTTGTTGTTGTTGCTGTGTTTGGGCTGGGCCAACAGTTAATTATTTGTCTTTCTCTGACACATTTGTTCTTTAATCCATATTCTCGCTTGCACACACTATCTCCATGCCATCTCTGTTTTTCTTGACATATTTATCACTTTATTTTCATACTGTACTATAAACTTTGGCATGCACCAACTTCGAGAACAGCTATTTTTAATGCAAGATAACACACCGAGCTTTGAACCCCAAATAACATTGACCAGAGACATCTGGTACTCAAATGCTTACATTTTTCCTACAGAGAAACCTGCTATCAGTTCACTGTCTTTAAAACACAACAGGACTAAAAACAGGCTGGCATTTTAAAAACTAGAAAACAATGACCAAAAAATAAATAAATTAAAAAAAAAAATTTTTTTTTTCCTGTTTGAAATAATTCACAAGAGAGCTCATTTCACACTGAGTGAGCATTTGCAGCAGTTGGTTATTTTTATATAATTAACTCTTTAACTACAACAAGGGCCAGTTTACAAATCTACTAAATTTCTTCCAACGAATAGAAGATAATGCTGAATGAGTTATTGGAATTTACTTATAAAAATGCTATAGGTTCTTAGGAAAATAAAACATTTTATGTGTATTACTCTTGACAACTCAAAAACAAATATTCCAGTGGCAAAGGTCCCTTAGATGATGCAAATGGCTTACTCTTGACTGTTCTGGTGTGGCGCGGTGGGCTAATGCGTCAGACGGCAGAGTCATTTGAACTGCAAGATTGGTGGTTCAAGCTCACCAGCTGCTCCTTGGAAACCCTGTATAGGGTCGCTATGGGTCAAAATCGACACAATGGCACTTAACAACAACAACTAACCTAAGCTTAATATGGTAAGTTGTTGTTGAGTGCCATCAAGTCGATTCCGACCCATAGCGACCCTGTATAGGGTTTCCAAGGAGCAGTTGGTGAGCTTGGACTGCCAACCTTGCAGTTCAAACAGCTTTGCAGTCTGACTGGTGTGCAAACCACAAGGTCTGTGGTTTGAACCCGTCAACTACTCTGCGGGAGAAAGATGAGGCTTTCTGCTCCCACGAAGAATGAAAAAGCCTTAGGAATCTTATACAGGATTGCTATGAGTCAGAAATGACTCGACAACACTTAACAACTACAACAACTAACCTAAAGTTTAGTGGCTCAAATCCAACCAGTGACACTGTGGAAAAAAGGTCTAGCATTCTGCTTCCCAGGAAACCCTTTAGGGCTGTTCTACTCTGTAACACATGGGGAATCGAGATCCCTTGAAGACAGTGTTTTGGTTTGTCACCGATGTAAGTTATATTGGCTGTAATGTTGCTCCAAGAGGCCTTTGGGAAACTTGAAGGGGACTGGAGATCCCCTGAACTGTGACTGCCACTTTGAGCCAGATACAACACCAAGCTCTGTGTTTCCACTTCTAAGGTTAAGCCACGGGTCTGCGGGGAGGAAGGAAGTTATATCATGTCCTCTGTGGAAAGTATTTCAATTTATGCAATAATTATCCTGTCCTCAATGGTTCTTCGTCAACAGTCCACTCATATTTGAGATGTCTGCTTGTTCTTTTCATTGGGTTATGTCCAACTTACAGACAACTCCTACTTATCCTTTAATGCAGGGCTTCGAAATAGTTCCGTCAGGACCAAAGAGGCAAAGGGGAACAGTTGGGAGATTTTACGATTTGGGTAACAATATTTATTATTGGTCACAATAACCTGAATAGGAAAAATTACTGGCTGGAGCCCTGGAATGGAAGATTCAGAAGAAGCATAGTGTGTTCTCTCAGGAGCCTGATGAGTAAGACTGAGTTATTGGCAGGATTGCAGAGAGCCACAAGAAGCTCTGGTGGTGTAGTGGGTTGTTACGTGTTGGGCTGCTAACCACAAAACCAGCATCTTAAATCTGCCAGCTGCACCTAGGCAGAAACAGGAGGTTTTCTTCTCCGGAAGTTACCATCTTTGGGTGGGATACCGGCATTTTTGAAATCCTGCTTTAATGTTATGTAAATTTGCCCTCACTATGAAAGGACTGAACCATTCCCTACTTGCAACAAATTCTTCATCCTAATCACTTTCACTTGCTGCAGATTTAGCTTTTAAAATCACTGAAAAGGCTTCAAGTTTTTTCAAGCACTAAAGTACGCACCTGCTTCAAATTACTTACCAATTCTTCAAGACGCAACAACAGATCTTGTTATTAACCTGGGATCACTTATATTGCCTGTATCTCCAGTTAGGGAGAAACCTACTCATATCTGAAATAAGATTCATTCATAATCCCAACTAAGAGAAAAAAAGATTGGGACAGGATGTCAAACTGGGAAGTTACTTGGTATGGCCAGCTGCCTTTTGAGGCCATATCCTTTCCTGCCAGTCTTACCCGGTAAACATTTCCAGAATCAGCGTAGAGGCCTAGGTTATCCAGACATTTGAAGATTTCATCTTCTGTCAGAAGGAGTGGACTCTGTTTGAAAATTTTATAACCTAAAGCATGTGCTTCCTAAGCATCTCACCTATAAGGTGGTAGTGGTATGCCTTGGAGTCGGTTCCAACTCCCTGTATAGGGTTTCTGAGGCTATAAATCTTTATGGGAGCAGAAAGTCTTATCTTTCTCACCTGGAACAACTGGTAGTTTCGAACTGCTGACCTTGAGTTTAGCAGCCTGCCTCATAACCACTGTGTTATCAGGACTCCTTCCCCTACAGGATGCAGCCCCTAAAACACATGCTGTAATCATCATGGTCGAAAGACATTGGACCTTCTTTACTGACAGAAGAAGAAAGTGATGAAGACCTGGTTCAATGCCATGTAGCTTGTTAGCCTCAGATCTAGGACTTAGACCCAGTTCTCCTGATTCACAGGCAAATAACTACTCTCTCCCCCAACCATGAGTACAAATGTAAGTGTAAGTGTTTATTGACCTATTCTTCCCCTGATGGCACTGTTGTTAAACATCCAACAGCTAACAGAAAGGTCAGCTGTTCAAATCCAACTGCTTCTCAGGAGAAACATGTGGCAGTCTGGTCCCATAAAGATTACAGCCTATTGTTGTTGTTAGGTACAATCAAGTCAGTTCCAACTCATAGTGACCCTATGCACAATAGAACGGAACACTGCCCAGTCCTGCACTTTCCTCACAATTGTTGTCTGAGTTCATTATTGCTGCCACTGTATTAGTCCATCTTGTTGTTGGGGGGGAGGGGTCCTTCCTCTTTTTCACTGACCCTCCACTACTCAGCACGATGTCCTTCAGGAACTTGTCCTTCCGGACAATGTGTGTGCTCAAAGTACAAGAGATGAAGTCTCGTGAGGCTCACTTCTAAGGAACACTCTGTACTTCTTCCAACATAAATTTGCTTTTTCTTCTGGCAGTCCCTGGTACTTTCAAGATTCCTCGCCCCATTATAATTCAAATGCATCGATTCTTTAATGGTCTTCCTAATTCATTTGTTGTGAGGATTTTTGCTTTCATAACATTGAGGTGCAGTCCAAACTGAAGGCTGTAGTCTTTGATCTTCATCAGTATGTGTTTAAAGTCAGGTTGTGTCATCTGCATATTACAGATTGTTAATGAGTCTTCTTTCAACACCGATGCCATGTTCTTCTTCATACAATCCATCTTTGGGGATTATTTACTCAATGTATAGACTGAATAAGTATGGTGAAAAGATACAACCCTAACACACACCTTTCGGGATTTCAAGCCATTCAGTATTCCTTTGTTCTGTTTAAATGACTGCCTCTTGGTCTATGTACAGATTCCTCATGAGCATAATTAAATGTTCAGGAATACCCATTGTTTGCAATGTTATCCATAGTTTGTTGTGATCCAGCAGTTGAATGCCTTTGCATAGTCAATAAAGCAAAAGCACAATGTCTCATCATCCTTCCTTCTAAGGAACATTCTGATATTTATTTTTCTGGTATTCTCTGCTTTCAGTAAAGCTCCATCTGAACCTAAGCAATGCTATCTCTAGTTCCACATGCTAGGAAATCCTACGGGGCAAGTCTACAATGTCTTAGAGAGCCATTCTGTGTTGGAATCCACCCCCTCCCAGCAGTGTGTTTTCTGGAAGTCTCAACTGTCTTACATGACATCTGGAGTGCTTCAATTTCTTTCATTTAGAAAGAAATGAATTTGTGTACTAGGATTTCTTTTTCTTCCATCGTTAATGGCACATAATTAAGTGCATGGCATTACTTGGTTTCTGTACTTACCCGTACTGAACAACACCCATCAGTGGACCAGCAGGGCCAATGTCAAGAGCTTGGGCAACATCAGCCAGGAACTGCTTCTGGATTTGGAATCGACGTTTGCCAACGCTCGAGCTCCCATCAATTACAAATGACAAGTCAATTTTGCAGCCTGAGGAAGGGACAAGGACTCTGTTATTCTGATTCTTTCACTAGACTCCCCTGGGTATTCTCTCATTGCTTTCTGTCTTTACCTAGACCCCGCAGACATTCCAATTGGGGTGTGTGTGTGTGGGGGCGGGGAGGTGAAAAAGAGGCCATAAGATGCAAGGCATTTTCATTTACTTGTACCCATCACCAGACTTTCACTGAGCCCTTTCCAGGTCCAGGACACTTGGACTAGCATTCACTTCCATGGCTGTTTTATAAGTCTATGTATCAGCCATAAGTATAGATCTCAGAAGACTCTATGCCCAGTTAAACTTGGTACGGTTCCCAGAACAGTTTCCCAGGCTTATGTGCAGACTTTCAGATGTGGGTGTCACCAAGATAAGAGTTCTAGGAGCTGTGGCTTTTTACTTTCATCTGAAGTTTTTTGCAATTATGTTTTGGGTCTGAACAAAGGTATCAAAGAATCTTTAAGGCTAATGCTGAAGGGAGGGTGGGAATTGTAGAATGAGAACTAGCTGGAACCAATCTTCTTCACTTCTCTGGGTAGAAAACCAGCAAAATCATCCACATATATCTACAGGAGATCAGCATTTGTTGCAGCTAGAGTAGATTTTTCTTTCTTTTGGTTGTGATAGAGATTAGGGTACTTGTTCCCAGTTAAGGAGGACCTCTGAATCTCTGTGAATATGTAAAGGTTATGCTACAAGGAGGAACTCTGGTAGCTTAGAGGACTACCAGTAGGGCTGTTAACTGAAAGGTCGGTAGTTCGAGTCTACCAGTTGTTTCGCAAGGGAAGGGTGAGGCTGTCTGCTTCCATAAAAGGTTTGTTGTTAAGTGCTATTGATTCAGTTCCCACTCATGGCAACCCTAGATAGGTTTCTGAGGAGCAGCTGGTGGGTTCGAACTGCCGACTTTGTAGTTCGAAGTCCTGTGCTGATCCTACAGAGTCCCCGTAAAGAGTTACAGCATCAGAAACCATAAACAGGGTCGCTATGAGTCGGAACCAACTCAATGGCACATAACCACCACCAGCATGCTAGAAGGGGAAAGATTTCAAAGGCTAATGGGAAATGGTAGAAAGGAAAAATAGGAATTAGCCTTTTCTTTCCTCTTGACATTTGAACTTACATCATCTCAGTATGATAAAACTGATTTCAACACTGATCAAAAGAAGTTCTTATCAGAAGCTATGTATCTCTTTGATAAATAAAACATGAGACATGGATTATTTAACAATTTCAGTTTGGGAGATAAAAGTATTTCAAAATGGAATTCCACTGAGGAACAAACAGAGAATAAAGCGAGAAATTTCTGCGTTGTACTAACCAACGAGACGTTTGGGCCAGCACTGCTCTGTGGGTGGGGGTGCAGCTGTCAAGGCAAGCCTGGCTCTACCCCACCTGTCACCTGGATGGAGGTATCCCTTCTACATTGGTGCATTGCTTTGATGAAACTGCAGTCTCCCTGTTCCCAGAATGAGAATGTCCATAGGGAGAGAGTTTTACTTTATTTTAAATAAAAGCAAAAAATGGACATGTGTTCATAAAGTTTTAGGCAGGAGAACTGATGAGAAATATTTATTGATGCGGGATGCTGTAGAATTGGTGGATTAAAGAGAAAAGTTACATCTGAGAATGTGCTTTATTGTTTTGCAAAGGTGCATGAAAGACCGAGGGGACGTCTCTGGACCTGGTGGTCTCTTAGGACACTAGTTTGTGACTCTGCTCATTGGAAGATCTCACAACTTCTACCTCCTGTCTGCGTGGACACGGAGTGCCTGTCAATTCTTCCTGCTCATCTAGCTCCTCCATCCTTAAGCTTCTGATACTCAGCATTACCCTTGAGATGGAGATTGAAAGCAGCAAATCAAATTCAGAAGTGGAGTTTTAAAACGTCACTAAAACCTGAGATAAAGGGGAGAGAAGTATGTTGGTATCTCCCAAATAAGGCTGAATTGACTAGTGTTCCCTCTGGGTGACTCACTTTTTCCTGGACCTAGGCTTGCAATGGTGTGGCTTTGTAGGATAAGCCCTGCACAGCTAACTGAGAGGCAGGCGGTTCAAATCCACCAGTTATTCCTCAGAAACCCTATACAGGGGCGCTGTGTGTCTGAACCGACTCCACCTTACTAAGAACAGCTTTGCAATGCGAGTTACGACCGCCAGGTGGCAGTAGAGTTCTTTCGGATTAGCCGCCATCCAGCACTGACTGGCTAGTAATGCGGACTCTCAGGCTCCACCCAGACCTATAGAATCAGATGTGGATTTTAACAAGATCCCTGGTGATCATATGCTCATTGATGTTTGAGAAGCACTGCTGAACCGGGGGTTTCCCTCCAGATGTCAGCAGATTAGTTCATTATGTCTTTAAAAATGAAAACAATTTTATGTTAAGTAACAATGCTAATTAGAGTAAGGGCCAAAGGGGATTTTTTTTTTTTTTAATGACTAAATGACATGGATTTTGTAGCCCCTGGTGTGACGCTGTGGGTTAATGCACCAGACTGCAAAGCAGTTTGAACTGCAAGGTTGACGGTTCAAGCTCACCAGCTGCTCCTCGGAAACCCTATACAGGGTCTTTATGGGTCGGAATTGATTCGACGGCACTTAACATCAACAACAACAAAATTTTGGCTCCTCGAGTCTTGGTGTGGCACTGCGGGTTAATGCAAGGTCCGTGTTCAAGCTCACCGGCTGCTCCTTGGCAATATATAGGGTCGCTATGAATTAGCTTTGGTAGTGTAGCGGTTACGAATCGGGCTGGGAACCAACTCCACGGCACATAACAACAATAACAACATGAATTAGAACCCGACTCAAAGGCATTGAACAACAAACCTTGGTCCTCACAGTTTCTTTCTCCTTGTTTGTTGAATTGTGTTCAGGAACCAGGTATTCTTTTCATGGCTAGGTTTTACGAAGGCAAAACGTTTTTGTATTTCATTTGTTTCTCTTTTCTCACTAATCTGCTGGCTGATGATGGGGTCACCTTTGCCTCTTTTGGCCCAGAGCATGTGCTCACTGGGACCTGATGCCTTTTTCATACAGAGATGTAAACATGCTGAACTGAAGATGACAGCCTCAAGACAGAAAGGTAAAAAGGAGTTAGGATATGTTTAGCATGAGCTGTATTTTAAGATCCCAGAGGGTAGAAGTCAGCAGGAATCCATCTATTGATTTCCTCAATTGCTTCGGTTTCTGTAACATGGTACATACAATCTTACAGATTGGTGTAGTGCTGCGCAGGGCATTTGTTGTTATGTACCGTGGAGTCGGTTCCGACTCATAACGACCCTGTATAGGGTTTCGGAGGCTGTAAATCTTTACAGGAGCAGAATGTCTCATCTTTTCTCCCGCAGAACAGCTGGTAGTTTCGAACTGCTGATCCTAAGGTTAACAGCCCGATTCGTAACAACTACGCTACCAGAGCTCCTTGCCCAGTGCTCCTTGCCCAGTGCATTGTTGTTGTTGTTATGGACCGTGGAGTCGGTTACGACTCATAGCGACTCTGTACAGGGTTTCCGAGGCTGTAAATCTTTACAGGAGCAGTTGGCAGTTTCGAACTGCTGATTCTGAGGTTAGCAGCCCGATTCATAACCACTATACTACCAGAGCTCCTTGCCCAGTGCATTAGAAAGCCAGTATTTCCTAACTCTGGACATGTATCAGAGATCCATACACTAAGTGCTGGACTGCGAACAACAAGGTTCGTGGTTGGAGCCCTCCAGCTGCTCCAGGGGAGAAAGATGACACTATCTGCTCCCACAAAACTTTAAAGAAGGAGCTCTGGTAGCGTAGTGGTTACGACTTGGGCTGCTAACTTAAAGGTCAGCAGTTTGAAACTACCAGCCGTTCTGTGGGAGAAAAATGAGGCTTTCTGCTCCCGCAAAGATTTACAGCCTCAGAAACCCTATGCAGGGTCACTATGAGTAGGAACCAACTTCCCACAAAACACCACCACCAGTATTACTGTATGTAGGAGCACCTGATTGGTACAAAGTATTTGCACTGGGAGTCCTGGTGTGGTGCTGTAGACACTTAGCTACAACAATAAGCACCTTTGACAAAGAAAATTGCCTGGAAATCACCTGAGCAGATTCTCCCCAGCCCTTCTCAGTCACTCCCTTGATTGAGCACATCTGAGGTGGAGCCTGGAATTCTGTGTTTCTAACAAGCTTCCCGGTGTATCTCTGTAGGTTCAACACTGGACCTCGAGGTCGGCAGTGAAAGCTCACCAGACGCTTCTATGAAGCCCTATACAGGGTCGCTATGGGTCGGAAGAGACTGGACGGCACACAACGACAATGACAACAAACTCCCAGGTAACGCCAATGTTGCTGTTCCCCACACTATACTCTTGATAGTAGGATCTAAGATGGTCTAATTCAGCAAGTATGAGGCAGGAATCCAGCATTTTAATAAAAATGTCAAAAAAAAATTCTTAGATGTGGCAGCTCCTTGGTGGCTGACTTGTAGTGGCTTTCTGGGGTGTCCGCAGTACTTTCCCTTGACTTGCAGGACACTACGCCTTCAGGTTTTCCTATTTTTCTTTGGCCCCTCCTTCCTGGTGTCCTCAGGTGTCTTTTCTTCCACCCACATGGTGATGAGGTTCTTTAGATTTAAGTCCTCTTTTTCTTCGTCCGCTACTCTGTCTCCCTAGCCTGGGTTTTGAACTGTAGGGCATTGTCTCCCAGCTCTAAACTTCCAACTCGGCTGTTGCTACTGAGTGTCAGATCTGGGTTGGCAGTTGAATTGGAGTCCTAAGGCTGTATAACAAAAGCAGCCAACTGAATGGCTTAAAACAATGGAAATGTATTCTCTCACAGTCTGGGGCAGAAGTGTGAAGTCTAGGTGTCAGTGAAGCCACATTCATTCTGGAGGCTCTAGGGAGAATCTTTTCTTGCCTCTTCTGCTGTGTAACCCCAGGCATGTGTGGTTTATAGTAGCCTAACTCCAATTTCTGCCTCATCTTCACATGGGTATCTTCCTTCTGTGTGTATCTGTTTCTTCTTCTTCTAATTCTTTTTTTTTTTTTCAGTAAGGACACCATATGGTCTTATAAGGATTTACCTACTCCATTATGGGAGTCCTGATAGGGTGCTGTAGGATAAGCATTGGATTGCTAACTGCAAGGTTGGTGACCAGCTGATTCTTGGAAACACTCTACAGGGTTGCTATGACTCAAAACTGACTCGTTGACACTTAACAACAACACGCCAGTATGACGTCATGATAGCTAATTGTATCTGCAAAGACATTGTTTCCAAAATAAAGTCACATTCATGGTTACTGGGGCTTAGGACAGAACATGGATTCTTGGGGGAGACACTAATTAAGCTATAATAGCACTTATAGGTTAGACCAGATGTCTCGTGGAAGATGATAGACACAATCTCCCCAAGCTTCCTCATCCTCAGTGTTCCTCATCACAGCTGCTCATATCAGCTTTAACTGCTCCCTGCCTTGCACCTTCATCTTCAGCTCTCCTTTTCTATAGCTCTTGAATCTGCCTACTTCTCTCCATTTCCAATTTCAAATCCTTACTCTGGTGATCATCATCCCTCATGGAACGACTGTGCTTGCCCTACATGTCTTCTCCTGCATCTTGACTTGTCTCCTTATGACATGATTCTCCCTGTTACCATGTTGTTGTTAGAAGTCAGTTCTAACTCATAGCAACCCTGTGAACAACAGAAGGAAACACTGTCTGGTCCTGGGTCATCCTCAGAGTCTTTCCTATGGATGTGTCCATTGTTGCAGCCACTGGGTCACTTCATCTTGTTGAGGGTCTTCCTCAACGAGCATGATATTCTTCTCCAGGATTGGGTCCCTCCTAATGACATGTTCACAGTACGTGAACTGAAGTCCTGCCATCCTTGCGCCAAAGGAGCATTTTGGCTGTACTTCTTCCTAGAAAGACTTGTTTGGTCTGGCTGTCTATGGTATATTCAATATTCTTCACTAATACCATAATTCAAAGGCATCAATTATTCTTTGATTTTCCTTATTCATCATCCAGCTTTCACAAACCTATGAAGTGATTGAAAATTAAATGGCTTGATTCAGGTGCATCTTAGTTCTCAAAGTGACATCTTTGTTTTTCAACATTTTAAAGAGACCTTTTGCAGCAGATTTACCCAGTGCAATATGTCATTTGATTTCTTTGTTACTTCCATGGGCATTGATTGTGGATCCAAGTAAAATGAAATCCTAGACAACTTCAATACTTTCCCCATTCTGCATGATGTTGTTTGGTGGTTCAGTTGTGAAGATTTCGTTTTCTCTGTGTTGAAGTCTGATTCATACTGAAGGCTGTAGTGTTTGATCTTCATCAGTAAATGCTCCGTGTCGTCTTTACTTTCTGCCATAGCGATATTTACAAATGTGAACCTCTCCCTTTCAGACACACAGATAATATAAGTCTTTCAAAAAATTCCCCAAACCTTTAGAACCAAGTGGCTGAGAAAAGTCAAAATAGATCCACATAGAAGAGAGGTGGGTTTGGGGAGGAGTAAGTAGGAGCTCTGGTAGCGTAGTGGTTACGAATCGGGCTGCGAACCTTAAGGTCAGTGGTTCGAAACTACCAGCCGCTCCGCGGGAGAAAGATGAGGCTTTCTACTCCCGTAAAGATTTACACCCTTGGAAACCCTGTACAGGGTCGCTATGGGTCGGAACCGACTCGACGGCACTTAACAACAACACAACAAAGTAGACATCCTGGTGTGGCGCTGTGGGTTAATGTTCTGGACTGCAAAGTCGTTTGAACTGCAAGATCGGTGGTTCAAGCTCACCAGCTGCTCCTCGGAAACCCTGTACAGGGTTGCTATGGGTTGGAATCGACTCGATGGCCCTTCACAACAACAACAATAACAACAAGTAGGTAGAGAGGATGGAAGAACAGATTAGAGGTCAAAGCACCCTGGGTTTCCAGTTGTCAATTAACTTACTTGGCTCTCCCTGGGATATTGGCTCCAGAGACTGTGTGCTTAATTCTTCTTTTGGAACAAATCCTGGAAAGAGCAATAAAACGTTTGGTTACTTACAAGCACAGGAAGCATCTGGACTCACCGCTGGGAAGGGGACATAATGGGTATTCACACCCAGTTTGGAGTTCTGGCTTGCAGCTAACAGAGCTTGTCTCTAAACCACTCCCATCCTAAGAAAAATACATGCGTGTAAACATTTACCAACAGACTAACATAAACACAGTGCTCTGCTGGGGGCCACAGGAGGAATTGGAGAAGACCCTGCTCTGCCCCTGATGTCCCATTAACGTATCCTATTTGAACCTTCATTTACTTCTCTGAAAGGATTATACTCACTGACAGTGCAACTGATCCCTTGGTAAAGTTCTGAAAACCTTGAGGTCAGAGAACTGTGCCTCACTCATATACATCTCCACTGTTCCCAGCACATGTAGATTCCTCAGTCAACTATCTAGTGACCCAGTCAGTGAACAAAGGTGAAACACGAGGAAGACAATATAATAGGGGCTGGATGCAGAAAGGAGGGGAATCAGATACAAGTAAATCAAACACAAGAGCCTAATATTCAAGGCCCACATCCCTCTCCACCCCCTGCCCCCAGCAGTCTGAGACGAGACATAAAGATGCATGAAGGTTTCAGACTTGGAGAGGCCACCTGTGGGAGGTGAATCTTAGCTTCAGGAGGTTTGTTTTATGCTATTTACATGGGAGCTAGAATCACAAATATGTCCTTTCCGTAAATTAAAAAAAAATTTTTAGGCTTGGTAAACCAATGTGGCTTAAAAGGCAGAGAGACTTGCAGTACCAGAAGTGAGTCTCTGGGTTGGGATACCCTGAAGCCTCAGGAGCCTGGGCCAGTGTAATAAGATGTTGGGGCTTTTCCTGCCTCTCCTGACATGTTATTTTTTTTCCAATCTGCAAAGCACATGATTTCTTCTTCCCATTAAAGGTCAGCTTGCTCATTCCACTTCCTCCCATCATGAAAAAAAAAATTCATTTTGGGTGTCGAGAAGCATTTTTCAGCCAGGAGCCTCTCGGGAAGACTCCTGAAACTTCTATATTAGAGGGTGGTGGTGAAATGCACGTCCAGAGGCCCTTGTCCTCTCAGCCACCTTCTTCCCTCATCAGTAAACTATTCCTACAGACCAAGAGCCTGAAGTTTCAAATATTTAATGCAACCAACAGAGAACAGCTCCCATTCAAGCAAAGGGGTGAAGGATTGTGTTCTCAGAGGGAGTGAGGGATTGTACCCATTTTTTAGGGGTGGGGAACGAACTATCTTCTGCTTTTGGTCTTCATGTTTCCTCTCTCCCTTTAGTTATCCATTACTGCCCCTGATCCCGGGCTCCTTGTGAGAAATTTATGCTCTTAGCTTGGTCACTGGAAGCCTGTGGAAAGGTAGCGCTAGCTAACGCTGGCTTCTCCTGCCACCTAGTACTATATCAGAGTCCCCTAGTACTATAAACCTGTGAATTTTAATCTAGGCAAGGTTGGGAGGTTGGCTGTATCTAAAAGGACGGATCCAAGTTTCCACAAGTCCATTTCTCCTGATTTTTGAAATTAAAAAGAAACATACCTGTTACTTACATGATAGTAGCAGAAGCTCTCAAGGGTCATGCAAGGGTGGCAGAAAGTCCAGTAAAGGAGCATAGGACCAGATTGATGAATGAAGCAACCTGAAATCTATTGGACTTTTCTGTCCAATTCTCCAAAAGCTAGACACAAAAGAACCTTTGCCCCTTTTCTTTTCACTTCGCACCAGGAATAACAGAATAATACAAACCTTAGGATCCAAGGGACCCTCAAAATTCATCTAGTCCAAACCAACCCATCCACCTGCTTCTACAACATCCATACCAAATGAATGCTGGCTAGTGTTTGAACTTCTCCAGAGAAAGGGAACTTATTACACATTCAATCAAAGCAGTGCATTTTTTCTTGGGTTATTGAAACTGTGAGAAACCATTTCACCGTATCAAGCAGAAATCTTTTGCTTTAAACTTTTATCCATTTATCTGTTGGTCCAGCCATCCTATTTGTTAAGGACCCTCTATGAAAATCAGTGAGTGAAAGCCTGTCATCAAAATGGTCTGGTTTGTAATTGATCATGTGCATGGGGTTGCCATAAGTTGAGGACCAATTCGTTGGCATTTAATAGCAACAGCAACATTGTACCTAACGTCATTCTAGATATATTTATTTCACCCATCTGTTTGATTTCTCTTCTTTGGAATGACATAGACTAAATATGGCCTCTCCAGGGAGCAGGGAATCCATTCATTTCCTGAGGCTCTGCTTCTCATCATTGCCTCAAGAAGAATAATACAAAATGGCACCTGAAATCCTATGTGCAGTAACATGTTTAAAGCTGTTTACAAGGAACTGGGCTGATCAAGTGGAAAGGTTGGAAAAGAGGTCATGTGTAACTGTCTTCATTCTCTTTGACGGAGGGCAGGATCAACTTTCATTTCTTAACGGCTATCAATTTTGCTGCCTATTGGAATTTATTAGCACACTCAAAAGAAGTCACACTCATCCTCAGATGATTAAGATACAAGGCTATTTGAAGAAAAAGGCAAACCTTACTTTTGCACATTCTGGTTTAATGGTGAATGAGACCTGAATTTAATCTGGCTCAGTCATTAACCACATGTGTGACCTTCAGCAAGCCTTGTACCCCCTCCCCCCTCGTGGACTTCAATTTCTTTGTGAACAACATTAGCAGAATGAGTGAATTGGTCTCCCAGTGCAAAATAGTTATGGTTGATATTTTTAAACATCTTGCTGGTTTAGCCTTATTACTCTATTACCTTTTATTGGTAACACTGTTCATTTGCACTTGTCCTAAAACAAATGACATGCTGGTGTTATCTCTCAGTTTCTGTACAAGGTTTTCAACACCCTTGACCACCCTGAAGAATTGGAATGCTGGGTGCTCCGTTACTTTGGAAGGACAGAAACAGTTCCTTTATATCAGGGATTTCCAAGCCTCTTAATCCTGCCCTGTTAGAAGGAAGTTCATCCTTCTAACAGTAAGTATCATTTTCATTTGGGTGCAACGAGCTTGAGCCAAATCACTTTCATTCAAAAGCTGAGGGCCGAGAAATATTTGGAGAATTGAGGCTTGGATTTGGTAGTTATCAGAAATAAAGTTTCAAGAACCTTTGTATTCTGTTGTCAGGAGGAAAAGGGTAGCATGGAGTTCACGGGGTTATAATAAGTCAGATGACCTTTCCTGGGTCTATCAAACTCTAGCTGGATGGCCAGGGTGGCTTACCTACCCTTTCTGATCCCCAGTGTTCCCCTCTGTGAAGTGGAGATCATAAAGATGTGTCCTTCTCTGCCTCACATCCCAGGAAACCCCAAGGAGACAAATGTATATAAAATCCCTCTAGAAAGTATGACACCCTAAAAAAAAAAAGTGTAATTATTTCTGTGACAATCCTTGCTTGGCCATCTCATAGATATGATGGCAAAGAGAAGTTCTGGCTCTGAATGATTTCCATGGCAAAAAATATTTATTGAGGGCTTACTCTGTTTTAGGCAAGCATTTGCTCCCTGTGAGGTAGGTATAATAAGGAACCTATTGTACAGATGAGAGAAGAGAAACGCATGCATAGTGAGTGGCTGGGGGCATGACCATCTGCTTATTCCCTATATGGATTCAGCAGCATCTCAGGGATTCTAGGCCACTGAGGAACCAGGCCTGCCATGGCCTAATGTAACTCATTCCAAGTATAGCTAAGTCTTCCAACGGGTCCAGAGCCATCCCTGCTCCTGACCTGGCATTGATCCTCCTTGCACTGCTTACAGCCACTTCTGCTTCTCTGGCACATCTGGAAGTCACTAGCCTAGTACCTGAGCAGGAGCAGTACCACATGGCCCTTTCGAGCTCTAAAGTTTTATGGGACAGGAGCCCAGGTGGCCTTTCAGCTCCCTGGTTTCTTCCCTCAGTGACTCCCCCCAGGTGCTGTTTTAGGAGGAGGTGGCACACCTCTGGAGCTGTGGGAGTCTCCAACACGCCCCTTCACCTTGCTCCATGCTTGAGGGCTGCACACTTCCTTTGGAGAACTTCCTCTTCTGTGCTGAAATGTGAGGCACTGAGGGGACAGGGGGATATCAAGGACTTTCTGAGAATGCTAAGGACAGTATGAACCCCTGGACAGGGGGCTGCACACCTTTGAAGCATCACAGACCCAATTTACAAATGATTCTGTTCCACAGCTCAGTATAAGGGATCTGTTTGGACCAGGCAGCCTTCTCTCATGGAAACAACGTTAACTCCATGGTTAGGTTTCCAGGCCATTGAAGTGTATTTGGTGTCGAACTCTTAATATGGTTGCATATGAGACTGTGAATATGGCATAGAGATGCTGGTGTCGGTGGTTGTGTGCTGTGGAGTCGGTTCCGACTCACAGTGACCCTGGATATGGTTTCCGAGGCTGTAAATCTTTGCAGGACCAGAAAGCCTAATTTTTCTCCTGTGGAACGGCTGGGGTAGTTTCAAACTACTGCTGACCTTGAGATTAGCAGTCTGATTTGTAACCATTCGTTCTGAGGAAAAATTACGGAATCCTAACTCAAATCATGAGGAGATATGCTCCCATCTCCTCAGCTACAACAGAAGCAGCCAGACCAGTGCTGGTGGTTTTCATCCTGACTTAGAGGGTCCTAGCAGGTGGGGTAGGGTGGGTCATGGGGGCTCCATATGTCAGAGACCCGGTATGTCGCTGGCATTACTGATGGGTTCTCTCGGGAGATGTGGGACCTGTGATGACAGAAACACTGGTGCAAACTTGTAGAATCTGAAACTATTTGATTCATCTTTGTCATTCTAACATCTAGCACAGTGCTCTGACATAAAGATAGTTAGATGATTATTGTCGTTGGTAGGTGCCGTTGAGTCGGTTCCGACTCATGGCGATCCTGTACAGGGTTTCCGAGGATCAGCTGGTGAGCTTGAACTGCCGACCTTGCAGTTCAAACTGACTTTGCAGTCCAGTGTATTAACCCACAGCACCACACCAGGATCCCAATATGGATTAACATGGGTAATGTACTGGACTGCAAAGTCAGTTTGAAGTCGATCCTTGGAAACTCTATACCAGGTTGATATGGGTCAGAACTGATTCAACAGCACTTAATAACAGCAACAACATAAATAAATTATTGAATAAGAAGTTTATTGTTGTTGTTAACCACCATTGACTTGGTTTCTGTATAGGCTTTCTGAGGAGTGGCTGGTGGGTTTGAACTGCTCACCTTGTGGTTAGCAGTCCAGTGCTTATCTTATACTCATATATTAAGGAACCCTTGTGGTGTTGTAGGATAAGCACTGAACTGCTAACCACAAGGTTGGCAGTTTAAATCCACCAGTTGCTCCGTGGAAGAAAGATGAGGCTGTCTGTTCCTTTAAAGATTTACAGTCTCAGAAATCCTATAGTGGTTGATATGAGTCAGAATCGACTCAATGCCAGTGGGTTTTATATATATATATATATACCATACACAAACACTAAAAAAACATTTCCCCTGCAGTAGATGTAGTGATTTTAATTTAGGGTATGTGCAGCAACCTCTATGGGTGGAAGGTATCGCTGGAGGCAAGGGCAGATTGCAGGAAACATTCGTATGTTATAAGTCTGTTGGCCTGTGGAGGAAGAGATGGGACACAGGGCCTAACTGACAGAATCATTAGGACCACACCTAGCTACGGATATTTGTTAACAGATTGCAGTGAACACTGAGGAGTGTTGCCCTGTTTCGTCTGCAACACAGTGAGGCTCATGGACTTCCATCGTGTGATTGTTATCCATGATTGGAAGGGAGACAGGTGGTATGTTTATCAATTTTGTGAAGATCCAAAATTGCCTAACCCGTTGAATGACAGAATTAGGGTTCAGAGAGTTTGCAGCAGACTAAATTAAGGTAAAAGTTAATAGGAATGAGTCTGATATTTCCACTTGGGTTAAAAAAAACTGGGTTGCATTCAAAAACTGGATTGGGTGGCCTGCTTTTCAATAATATATAAATATATAATATGGTAAATAGTCCTGGTGTGGCACTGTGGGCTAATGCATCAGACTGCAAGTTACTTAAACTGCAAGGCCAGTGGTTCAAGCTCACCAGCTGCTCCTTGGAAACCCTATACAGGGTTGCTATGGGTCGGAATCAACTCACCGGCACTTAACAACAACAATATGTTAAAGTATGGTCATTAAAACTAAAGTTACTATCCTTTAACATAAATAGGTAAATATTGAAGTATAAGAGAAAAAGCCTAGGGGCTCAGTTGGAGATGAATCAATAGTGAGACAGAGCTTTGCCTAAATGGAACTTGAGATGCTTTAATGGAATCAGATATTTAGCATGAAGGAGGGAATTTCCCAGCACACCCCTTGCAGCATTATGTTCCACTCTGGGTGCCCTATTTTATGAGCCTTTAACAGACTTGGTTGACATTTTAAACCCACCCAGAGGCTCCTTGGCAAAAAGACCTGGTGATCAAAGATTATAGCCTAGATAATCCTCTGAGGCAGTACTTCTCTGTTACATGTGGTCACAGTGAGTTGGAATTGACCCAACAGGACCTAAATCTCCAGCAGATCAGACACTATACTACAGACCAAGTCATGGAGGAGCCTTGTGAGGAATCGGGGTAAGACATTCTGGAAAAGACAAGACATAAAGGAGGAAAGTAAGACCCGTTTCATACATTTGAAAGGCTCTCATTTTAGTTTTTTTTTTGTCTCAGTCTCTTTATGTTCTTAAAAATTATTGAGGACTCCAAAGAGCTTTTATTTATGTGGAATAAAAAAATCTGTTGATTTTGACAATATTAAAAATTAAAGCTGTGCAGTCTCCCATTTGAAACAGGTTACTAATCATCAACTTAATGAACTACTAATTCATTTAAAAATAACAAAAAAACCAAACAAACTAACAAAAAACCCCAGATGCTGTTGTCATTTCCAACTCATGGGTGACCTGTTATGTTAATATTATTTTTATGAAAAATAAGTTTTTCTGAACAAAAAATTCAATGAAAAGAGTGGCACATTTCTTCAATGTTTGGCTTAATAGAAGACAGTTGGAATCTGTTATCACCTTCTGTAGTCAGCCTGTTGTAGTATGTTGTTTTGGTTGAACTATGTAAAGAAAATCCTCACCACTAGATTGAAAAACAACATTCTTATCAATGGAGAAAAGATTGAAGTTGTCAAAGACCATTTTTCTTGGATCAACCATCAACACTCATGGAAGCAGCAGCCAAGAAATCAAATGATGTATTGCATTAAGCAAATTTGCTGCACAAGACCTTTTAAAGTGTTGAAGATCAAGGATGTCAGCTTGAGGGCTAAGATGCACCTGACCTAAGCCATGGTATTTTCAATAACCTCATATGCATGCGAAAGCTGGACAGTGAATAAGGAAGACCATAGAAGAATTGATGCATTTGAGTTATGGTGTTGGAGGAGAATATTGAAAGTACCATGGCTGCCAAAAGTACAAACATTCTCCTTGGAGGCCAGGATGGCTACACTTCGTCTCTCACACTTCAGCCATATTGTCAGGAGGGACCAGTTGCTGGAGAAGGATATCATGTTTGATAAGGTGGAGGGTCAGAGAAAAAGAGGAAGACCCCCAGCAAGATGGATTGGCCAAGTGGCAGCATCAATGGGCTCAAGCATGGCAACAATTGTGAGGTTGGCCCAGGATCGGGCAGTGTTTTGTTCTGCTGTGCCTAGGGGCACTATGAGTCGGTACCAACTCAATGGCCCCTAATAACAACATGTAAATAAAATATGATCTCACACTGATATATAGACTGAAAAGGGAGCCCTTTACTGAAAGTGGGGTCCTGGAGAGACACTCTGAGAATCACTGAACCAAAAAAAGTAAAACAAAAAACAAATCCAAACCTACTACTATCAAGTTGATTTTGACTCATAGTGACTCTCTAGAACAGAGTAGAACTGTTTCATAGGGTTTCCAAGGCTGTAAATCTTTCTGGAACCTGACTGTCTCATATTTTTCCTGCTAAGCAGCTGGTGAGCTTGAACCACGAAACTTGTGCCACCAAGGCTCCTTAGAACCACTATTGTCAAAAACTTAGGAACAGAGGGTTGAAGTTCTAGATAAGCGTATCTAACAATGTAGTCTACGAAATAAATCTTAGTTGCTGTTGAGTAAACTCTTGACTCAACATGTCTCAAAGTAAAATTATACTCCATAGGGTTTTCATTGGTTGATTTTTTAGAAGTAGATTGCTAGACCTTTCTCTAAGACCCCTCTGGGTGAACATGAATCTCCAACCTTTAATTTAGTAGCCAAGTATATTGTACCATCCAAGGACTCCTCACATAAGTGAAGGGACTGAGCAATTACCTACCTACCATACAAACTTATCATATATAGGGTAGACACATTTATCTGACACACCCTAAGAAATTCATTTAGTCTATATAAACTTTATGCAATACTTACCAGTTCCATGATATGGTGATTTTATAGGTGAGCAACTGAGGGAATTTCTGGATTTGCACACCTTAAGGCATCTATTGGCTATCCATCTATTGATGGGAGAGCTGTCCAAAGGATACCTAAGAATTCCAAATGGTCATACCAGTCTTTACTCAGGGTTTAGAATAGCTTCCTGTCATCTGCAGGAGCCATAATATCATATATATCCATCCATAGTCAGTAGAAGACCCTGGGTGATGCAAACAGTTCAGTACTCAGTTACTAGACTGCAAGTTCAAAACCACCTTAGGGTGCCTGATAATCTGCTTCTGAAGACTCCCAGCCTTGAAAACTCTATAGAGAAGCTCTACTCTATAATACATGGGATCACCATGAGTTGGAATTAAGTTGACGGTAACTGGATAGTCAGTGAATGTCTTAACATATCATGACTAGTGTAGGTTTGAGCTTTCCTGACTAGGCAAAGACACCTAAGCATAGATGGGATGGATCTGAGGTGCTCAGAGCAAAGTTGCAGAGATGATGGTGTGAGGTGGGGAGCAACAGATACAGGTAGGATTTGAGGATTAAAAAACTGCTGGAAGCATCTGCCTTTGTCAACATGATACAGGGCAATCATTAGGGCCATGGAGGAGGATGGAAAAGAAACAAAGAATCACAGGTCATAGAGGATGAGTCAGTGTGGCCAAATGCCGACTCTCACCTTGTAACAAACCCAGTATTGTCAGGCAGTGAAAAACAGGACCTAGAGATCAGGTGATTCGCCTTGTTGCCACTCCCCAACCCCAGTTCTCATGCCATTCCTGACATGTGTGTGGTGCTGGGTTTTTGCGCTTTAACCCTGAGATGGGCAGGGTGGATTCATCAGCTGCTTAGATGGGAGCCTCTCAAACTGACATAAACCGATGTGATCCTTTGGGCTTCTAAGCTGACTGAGATTTTTCTCTTTGACGCACTGAGAACAAACAGAGCAGATAGACATTTTCTAAAAGTTAAAATAACTTGGCATGGTTGCAAACCCCAGTGACTGGGAAGTGAGCTTCAGGCGTCAGCACCAAATGTGTGAAGGTCTACAGAGCAAACCCCTCAGCAGCAGAGATGGTAAGCAGCGGCCGCGAACCCAGGCTGGCATCTGCTCCAGCAGGTTTCTGGAACACACAGAGGACTCTTGCCTCTGGACACCTGAGGGGATTACTGTATTTTCACATGTAACGTGCTCACATAAGTAGCATGTGCACAAGCATGTATAGTACACATAGGAAACTAACATGTTACTTTGCACGCTTATAAAAAACTGTATAATGTGTCTGAATTTTGTGAAAATATGGAACACAGGGTCAGGGGATTTACATGCAGCCAGCAAACTGCTTTCTTTTCTTATTTTGCCTCTTGAGGAAAGTGATCCTAATTCAGATTTTCCTTGGACATCAGCCAAGCTCTCTTTTGGGGCCTGCAGAGGAGGCAGAAAACCTGGCAAAGAGGACAAGAGCAGACAGCGTCCATGGTTTGGCCTCTTGAACAGTCCCATGGGCCTGTGAGGCCTAAGATGGCCTTGGAGTCCGTGCTCTGACCAGCTTCTGATTTGTAATCCCCTTTGTACAGGACCATAGCATGGACATTGGCAAAGGTGCAGTTGTGAAGCTCATGGAAGCTGCCACCCCTGTACAGGGAGCCCCATGGAGCACCCCCTGACTCAGATCTGGTGTCAAAGCAAAGCAGAACTTACAATGTCTGTGGATTTTATACATGTGTGTTGTTAGGTTGTTAGTGCTGTCAAGTCAGTTCAGACTCAGCAACTCTGTACAGGATTTCCGAGGAGCGGCTGGTGGGCTGGTGG